ATCTTTCTGAGGCCACCTCCCTGGGGTTGAGGTAGGAGAAACCAGAGACCCTGACAGCACCTGCTGCAGCCCCTGTGTCCTGGCCCTGGAGGAGATTCTGCAGATGCTTGCCTGGCCTGCTTCTAAGAGGATTGGGACAGGTGGTGAGCTGGACTAGGTCAAGGCCAGGGAAACCTGCTAAGGAGGAGCCCAGGTGGAGGAGGGAGAGGCCAGGGACCCCAGAGGGAAAGAGATCAGGGAAGGAGCAGTTAGGGCTGGCAGGGGATCCAGAGGTCCTGGCCTTCACACCTGTCACTGCGACCCTACATAGCAGGCTCCCCACAGGCATGGAGAAGGAACAGTTGTTACCCAAAATCTCATGGCTGTCTGGCTGCGTCCTTCTCCAAAGACTCCAGGAAGCACATGGGCTCTGCAGGACTCTGGCTGTGGGGCTGGGGGCTGGCTCTCCAGCTGGGCCACCTGTGCACAGTGGAGGACGCTCACACTAAGGCTCCCACAGGCAAAAGGATTAAAGGCTGTGGACCTCAAAGGACTTTTTTTTACAGATATCAGAGCATAGGGGACACCACTGTCACATGGGAGGTGACATGCTGGAGGGGAAAGTGAACCCTGGTTTTGAGAACCTGTTCTCCCCTCTGTCCCTCATGCCCTCAAGGCTCCTTGTGGGGTCTTGGTATTTTGTGCATTCCCGTCAGGGTCCTGGCACCATGTCCACACCCCCACTTCCAGCCCCACCCTGTCATGTCCCTCCAGATCCGCACTAATTCTCCTGTGTTGTGCTGAGGCTGGCCTAAGAAGATTGGAGCATTTGCTAAATGGGACCAGAACTGGGTCATTGAACCAGCTGTGGGGACACTTGAGGACCAGGGTGGCCAATGGGGACAGAAGGGGAAGGGAGAGGTGAAGACAGAAAGGGAGCACATTGATGCAATGAGAGAGACCATGGGCCCAATAACTAGACACTGACCCACGCGTGAGTGGGCCTTTGACTTATCATTGAAGAGAGAGAACATATTCCAGGGAGTGGACTTTTATTGGGGAAGAAAACTCTGGGGAAAATCCCATCCAATGAAGATTAAGGGGGCAGTGTCCCAAGGTCAGGGGCGAAGATTGGGTCTTTGGGGTACAAGTCCTGAGAAGGGTGGGGAAAGCTCTGGAACCAAGATGTGCCTAAGCGCCTCCCTCCCAGCCAGGGAGGTGACTCAAATCACGCGC